CCTGTCTTATTGGAGACTTCAAAATATGTTGCATTAAAATTAGTAACTTTAGCCACACATTCTTCATATGAATAGACTCTTTCTTGTAAGTCCGATTTTGCACCAACAACATATCGAAGGTACATGCCGGGAATGTACCTATCTCCATAAGAAAGCCAGTTTTTTGAATTGTTTATTGTGTCCAAGTTGTTGAGTGAAATTACACAAATTAATACATTTGCGTTGTACCAAAAACTTGCATTAGGTGAAATTATATCATTATTAAAATCATAGTATGACAACTCAAAGTTATTGCCATTATATAAAACATTTTGTTGGACCTAATTGTAAAAATTAATGATTCAAATGGAACAAATAGTTATTATTGTTTTTATTGTATAATTATATAAAAGTTCAGATTTTAAAAAAAACAAACAAATCTGTCGTCAAATGGCACAACTTCATCTAAGAAAGGCAAGCCCATGAAGTTTCGAACAAGAGAAGTTTTGCCTGTTTTTTCGTCTCCAATAAAACACAATTTAATAGAAAGCGTTTTTAATTCACTCATGTTGCTTTTAAAATTCAGTTTAATAAATGTTTTAGTTTATGTAATTTGGAATATAAATTATAATTAAATTAAATTTTTTTTATAATTAACATTTAATGTTTTTAATTATTTATGGATTTTATTTGCATAGTTTTAATATGAACTTGTGTTGATACATATAGAGTATTTAATGGGTGCCAAGAAATTTGAGGATTGATTAATGTAAAATTTCGGGTGTTAATTTTATGTTTTTAATTTTTTTTCTTGATAATAATTGATATGAAAATAATTGCCAAATTCATTTCGTTTCTTAAAACAATTCTAAGACCCAATAAGTTTCTTGCACCCTGCAAATGCTCGATCTGTATGATTTTAATGATTACAATTAAACAACCGTGAGCAATTTTTTTAAATTAAAGAATATTAAAAAATACAATGAGTCTAAAAAACAGGAAATCTCGATTTTATAAATTAATTTACCTTAAATTTAGAAGTTTATTTTTTGTATAACATTACAAAAACCAAAATAATACAATAATTGATTGTGTTTTTAAATTTTTTGAGCTGTTGTGTTATTTTGAATAATAATCAATTTTTTATTGTTATAAAATATATTATAATTAATAATAAAAATAATCATTTTGTCATAATTTTTGATTATTTAAATATAAATTCAAAGAATAACATCCATATAATTAAAAACTATAATAATATTTCTTCACAACACAATCAATTAAAAAAAGAAAACAATTCCAGAATAAATCCAGTACAGGGGCTAAAAAAACCGCTTCCGTTATTTTAACCGCTTCCACTTGATTTTATAGATTTAAATAATATTAATATAATAAAATTTATTGTACTGTTTACCATGAAGGCTGAATAAGCCTAGTATAGACTTTTTCTCTACGAGGTGGTAATTTGTATTATACTTTTTATAATAATGTTATTAGTTATAACTATTAAATCGATAGGAGGCGGTTAAAAAGACGGTAGCGGTTTTTTTTATTTTCCCTGTAATGAGTACTATAACACCTCAATATTACGATTGAACAGACGTAGAACCAATGTTTTTCCAAAACTTTCAAACATCGATCATCCACTTTAAAGTTTTTAAGTTCACAAATCAATACATTGAAATTTTCAAGACTAACGAAATTGGGGGTTTCGACTGTTTTTCTCCCAAATCCAGTTGAACAAGATTCGTTTTTTGTTATTATTCGTTGTAAAATAAGTGACAAATCCGATCAAATTCTATGGAATTAACTTCAATCCACTAATTTGCCCGACACGGCGTGTCGGGTTTGATCGGTTTGTGGGATACATGTTTAAGTACTCCAATCTTAAAGTCTCAGTAACGAAAAATGAAAGAATCGATGGAAGGGGTGTCAAAGTGATGAATTTGATATTTCTTACATGTGACAATCCATACAATATACTTACACATCACATGCTGATCAGTTGTATACTTTTCATTTTGGCACAATATTAGATGAAACAACAATTAAAAAAAGACATCGATATGTTTTATAAACACTTGCACGTTTCTGAGAAGTTCAAGTACCACATAATATTAGACAAGAAATACCATTACTCTTTGTGTGATAATATTTCGAAACGCCGCATTTATTGTTTATTTCTGCTTTTAAAACCCTTTGCAAACGGTTGGTGTTTCAGAACACAAAACGCATTTTTGTTTGTGTATTATCAAAATTTAAGTTGTTTGACATTTTTATAATATGTTTATGTCATACTTATAATATTATAGACAAGGTTAATGTAATATTAATGGAAGAAGTTACTTGTCAAAATTGGAAATTTATTGAGAGTGACAAAAAAGGAATGTTTGTACAACCTCAAGTGACAGGACAAGCATTACTATAGATCGATGAAAAGTTGACAAGTGCATATTTAGATGTTGAACAACACAATAAGAAAGAACATTATATTGTTTTGCAATATCTTAAAGACCACAGCGGATTGTATTTTATCAAAATTGGGTTTGCGGAGAAGGAAACTAATTTTGAATTTAAAGAGATGTATTTAAAGTCGAAATATGTAATAAATTTCGTACACATTGTGGAAAAGAGTATTTTTATGCTTCAGTGTTTTATGATGAAGTAAAAGAAAATAGAAATATTGTTTTGTTATAATATGGAGAGACTGAAACAAAAGAATTTGTTTGTAACACCCACAAAAAGACTGAATTTGAAAAAAGTTGTGTGTGTGAACTGAAAAAAAAATTTGATAGGATTCGAAGGATTTGTAATATATCAATTTCTTGATTAGCTTAAAATGGACATGAAATTACAAAATGAAATAATATAGAAGCAGAAAGATATTGAAAAGAAACTGAAGAAAAAAGATTCAGATTGTATAACAAGACAAAAAGAAAGACAATTGATAAGATATTAAACAAAAAGAAGAAAACTACACAAAACAAGAATAAAAATTGGATTGCAATTTTTAAAAGATCAACAGAAAGTTCCAAAATTCATGATTGTCATATTATACAAGAACAAGTTTTAAAAATAAATAAAAGACAAGTTATGAAAGTTGTGGATCATATTGCTTTTAATTATGAATATGAATACATCCTTTAGTAATAACACATGATATTTTGATTATCATTTAGTAAGAAAAGGTATATATTAAAAATTGATATGACAATGTTAGATATGTTTTTATATAGTGTTAAATATCATTATAATTTAGTATGAAATATAGTAAAATAATACAAAAACAAATATAGGTCTATTTTTTATAAATAACAACAGAAATACAAATAATAATAGTTTTCAATTATTTAGAAAACAAATGACAGAAGCATAGCAAAAAAATAATATAACATATTTTCTTGTGGCACTGCTCTGACCTCCAGTGCAAACTTCACACTCAAAATTTGTGCATGGTGTTTTGTATGTATTTTTGTCTTTACACTTTTCACATTGTCTGTTTGATTCAAAATAATTATCTTGGCATATTTCAACACAAGTACCATTTTGTAAATAAACATTTTCTTCACAAACATCACATGATGTTTTATTGTGACATTTTTGACATTTGTCGCCGCACTTTTTGCATTGCTTCTCGTGTTGAAAATACCCATCTTTACATTGATCAACACATAAATTGGTTTCTTCTTCTTTTAACATGTTGTCCATACATTCTTCACAGTCTTTTTTCGTTGCACACCTTTTGCATCCTTCTTGACAAGTTTTGCACATTTTTTCTTGAGTTGATTTGAAATACCCATCAGAACACGTAACGACACACACCTTTGTGTCTTCAGTTAATAAATAATCAGTTTTACATTTATCACATTGTTTTCCGTCTTTACAACTATCACAGTTATCTGAACATTTCATACAAACTTTGTTTGATGAATAATAACCAGTTGGGCATGTGGGTAAACACGATTTATTGTCTGGTTGGAGATTATCAGTGGTGCACTCGGTACAAATGTCACTTGAAGAACATTTACTGCATCCTTGAATTGATGAACAAGAAATGCATTGATCTTCACTTATCACATAACCATCAACACAAGAAAGACACTTGTTTTCGTTTTCACATGTCAGACAATTGTTTTTGCATTTGACACACTTTTTGTTATCGTTGTCTTTGTAATAATTAGAGGGACAATCGGCATTTTCTGTGCACTTTTTTGTATCTTCAATAAGTAATTTTCCATCATCACAAGCGTTGCAAGTTGTACCATCTGAACACGTTTTACAATTCTCTGGACATTCCAAACAGATCTTAATTGGCGATTCAACTGAGTAGTATTTGTCTCCACACGTTTCAACACAAGTTTGTCTGTCTTTGACATAATAATTATCTTTACATTGTTGACAAATATCATCTTTACAAACTCTACAATTTAAATGTGTTGAAATACACAAAGACATGTCAATTTCACAATAATAGTTAACTCCGTCAATACTCATTGTTGTGTCACTGCATGTTTTACACAACAATTCTTCTGAATTTGAAATTGGTTGAACACTTTCTCTTGGAGTAATGTTGACATATTGAAGTGTTGAACATTTTGCTTTTATCACATCAATATGCCCAAATTGTGTTGCTTGATAACTTTCCTTGACGTACACTTTTATTTTAGAATTAAATTCATTTTTAACATTGATGAATTCCTTATCTCCATGAAAGAAAACGTTTTTAATTGTTTCAAAATTATCACTGATTTGTAATAAAGATTCGTACAAATTAATAGATTCCAACATGTCACATCCTTTGAACGCGTTTTGCTCGATAACAACAACACTTTCCATTCCAACCAGTTTTTGTAATTTCGAACAACCACTGAAAATAGATTCAAAAACTCGGATATTTTGATTATAATCAACAAATGTCAAATCCTTGTTATCTGAGAACACTCCATTTTCAATTGATAAAATTGATGGAGGCATTTTCAAAGTTTCAAGTTTATTTCCTTTGAAAGCGTTTTCTCCTAAGTATTGAAGATTTTCAATGAAATTTATTTCCTTCAAAGCTGCTCCTGAAAATGCATATGCCCCAAAGTGAGTCACCAGATTAAGACCAGCTGCAGAAACAAGTTTTGTACAATTTTCAAAACAATTTGAAGGAATGATTAAAGTTCCTAAAACATCAATATGAGTCAGTCCAGAACTTTTAAAACACGAATTGCCAAGTGAAGATATACCCTTTGAACTCGATACAAAAGTGGCAAGATTTTCTGCGCCATTAAAAGCATCATGACCAATTGAAACCGCTTTTTCAGTGCCCATAAATTTAATAGATGTGATTTCTTTGTTGTTCATAAAACCTTCATTTGAGACACAATACGAATTAGTAATTACAATTGTCGAAGCACAAGTTGATCCGGTTTTTTGTTTTACACAACCTTTCTCATCTAATTCAACGCATGTTTCAGTTACATCTTCAGCAACAGAGATTGTTAATACAACAGTAAGCAAAATTGATAAACGCATTTGTATGTTATTCATTAATTGAGATTCTTTTTATATTGTGTTATAAATTGTTTCTTTTGAATTCAGTTATGAAGTTTTGAGTGAAGCATGGTAGTTGAAAAACTTTTAAAATAACTAAATATATGAAATTGTTTCTTCAATAAAATTATTAAATAAATTAATATAAATATGTTAATAATATTTTATCAAAACAATTTAAACAAAAATTCTTGTTTTTATTTATTATCTATAA